TCAAATTATGTCAAAAACTGAAGAACGATAAAAATAGAGGTTTTCGATAAAAATAGAGGTTTTCTTCCAACAGCAGCAATATTCTGTCAGAAACTGGACTTTGAATCTGAGTTACATCAGTATCACAGAGGTCTGATGTCCTGTGAGTCACAGGCTACTGTGTTTGCAACACGTTGTTGTCATTTTCCAAAAAATCTGCTGGTGTGGATTTTTTTTTTTAAAACGTTGTAAATTTCCGGATATGTGTGGACAGGACTTGAGGTTTTAAACTATCATCAGGACATTACGAGCTCTGATATGGTGAAACGCAAGCACAAAGTTGATAATTATCAGTGCGTTATTGGTCATATTTTTGCTGATTATTACTAAAAATGCGAGTCGTCAATATCGGTCAATGTTATCGGCCAATCAATATATCGGATGGGCCCAAACACATAGTGATACACACTGTATTCTTATCAGATTATCTCCCTACTGTAGTTCATGGAAAGCCTCTTCTTTTATGATCTTATGTGTGTAATAATTGGTAGGGAATTTCTGATAACTTCTGCTTTCTGTGTGTGTGTGTGTGTGTGTGTGTGTGTGTGTGTGTGTGTGTGTAAGCAAGGGGGGGGGGTCTGTGGTTCCAGTCCATGTGTTATCCAGCCGGGTGTGAAGAGAAGTGGTTGTGCTTTGGCTCTCTGCTGATGAGTAAGGCTCCTCTGGGGAGAAGCAAACCAGCAAACAGCTTTCTCAAACACTACCGCAAAGACTGTTGCAGCATTTTAGGGTTTTCTACAAACAAACTCAAAACACTTCATATAAACAATCCACCTTAACAAACCTCTGACTGTGGCTTTAGTTATTACACACGAAGAAAAAACTCCTTTGTGAAAGGTCATAAAGCGGGTCTACCAGGTGTCTTCTCCTGATTAATCTGGACACATTCTCATCACTCAGCCTTAATAGTGTAACAGCATTAGTGTAAAAATGCATCACTGCATCATGAGGCATCGATATGAAGGTGCCAGTTCAAATGTTTGAAATGTTGGAGAGATTGTAATTGATTAATTATATATAATCTGAGTTTATGCTCTTTTTCTGGCTAAAATAAAATCTGAGAGAACAAGAGAGAGAGAATGAGAGAGAGAAGGAGAGAGAGAGAGAGAGAAAGAATAAAAAAAAGACAAAAGTACTATTTGGATGTGATTAGTTTTACATGGTGATGTAATGTGATTTTACCTGTAAATATTACTGTCTGTAATGTTTATGATTTTCCCTATTTGTTTAATTATGCTCATTAACATTAATAATAAAAAAGTATTAACAGTTAAACAGTTATTGTGTATTAAACTGTGTTCTCTGTAGGGGATGTGTCACATACATATAAACATTATCAATCCCTTGTTCTGTATCAACTCTGCAACATTGTAAATGAGTATCACCCTCATGTTCTCCAAAATTAAATAAAGGTTGTTTTCTATTCTGACTCTGCTGTTGTGTTGGTAGTATCCTTTGCGAGTGAAATGTACCTCAGAAAAGGTTTCAAAAGCAATTCGAGCAGTTGGAAGCGTTCAAAAGGGGTCACATTGTAGGGCTGTAGAACGTTACAACGACTGCCCTTAACACCACGTCAGCGTTGCCAAAGACTGCAATGGTGTCGTGCCAGACTGTCATGGAATGACTCTGAATGGCAGCAGGTCATCAGTGATGAGTCCCGCTTTTGTCTCGGTGGAGACGACCAACGAATCCGTGTGTGGAGGAACGGTGGTCAGCGCCAAGATGAACAGTTTGTTGTCACGCGTCACACGTCCAGAAGGCCTGGCGTCGTGGTGTGCAATTTAGTATGATGCCAGATCACCTTTGGTCTTCATTACAGGCCCTTTACAACCCAATGTTATGTTAATGAGGCCCTGCAATCAGTGGCCCTACCTTTTCTGAACACACACTCCGGTGCGCTATTCTAATAGGACAACCCTCGTCCGCAGACTGCTGAGGTCTCAAGAGTTTGCCACAGATATTATATGTATATACTACATGTATATACTATGTGGCCTCCACCCCTACCGCAAAATCTGCAGGAACTGCGTGAGAATATTCAAGCTGCATGGGATGGATTATCACAGGACACCATTAGGAACCTCTACAACTCCATGCCGTGACGTCTGGCATGTTGCGGTAGCAAACATGGCGGCCCAACACCAAACTGAGAGACACTACTTCTGTATGTGTAGCTCAGTAAATATTGCACATAACAGTCTAAATTCTTAATCATTTATTGTTCCTGGTAACCTTTATTTTCCTTCCCGAACAGCATTGCAATCCAACACTTCCTTCTGGGTGCAGCTATTTTTTGGACGATGAGAGTGTATATGTAACACGTTCCCTACAGAGAATACAGTTGAATAGTGGTGCGGTCAGAGATTTACACTCCGACTGTTCACACTTCTTTCTTTATGACTGCAAACACACTGCCAACAACTGCTAAATCTCAAAAGTGTAGCGGGATGATTTCTTTACTCGAACAGGAAGCTCCCAGTGGACACCACCCCCCCACCCCGGGGCATTCCTTCTACAAATCTCATTCTGAAATTGCACTGTGGCTCATTGCACTTAGCTGCTGAAGCTGTTAGCTTGATTGACCCCCTCCTCCAGCCTCTCCCTGTGCGAGTGTTTGTGTGAATGGGTGGTCAGTTGCAGGTGTGGTTGTATGGGTCTGTGTAAGACAACATCTGTCCAGTTGTTATAAATAAAAACAAATAACAGATTAGCAGATTAGCTGCATCTGCTTGACATACATGTAAGACCAACATGATACACAGTGAACTGAGGGGTATCTTGTATTCTTTGATCTGAAAAAAGGCATTTACAGACGTTCCCACAAATATACAGCACAATGGATGTATCTGCTGGCATAGGGGAGGGGGCCACAGTCATGCACTGTTCAGCAGACAGCAGTAGGAGGCCCCAAAGTAGGGGGAGTGTGAATACAGTGAAAGAGACTGCATCTGCAGCTAGCTTTATGGTTATTATGGTTATTATTGTGAGAGGATACAGACAGAAAATGTAAGAAGAAAGTAATATTCTGCATACTGGTGGGGGGTGTAGCTGAGATGCAGAAAACAATCATCATATAACTGTTAATTACAGTTTAAAACTCCCAACAAGGCAAAACAGGTTGTCATTCAGTTACTGACAAAAATAAAGCAGCTAAACCTGCCCTGGAATCATTTTTTTAACACTTCTTTACTGTACTAAGTTTGTTGACTTATGCCATAACAGTTCCTTTTTGTTCTTAATTATCATATTTATTATCATATTTCATCAATACTGGTCTATTTTGCTAAAATATTTACTAAAAACTTTAGTGACACAGTGGAAAGCTGAATACTGAATATGTCTGATGTTCCTATTTTTTTCTTTGTGTTTTAATACCGACATAAAGAGCATGAGATATGATAGGTGTAACTGTAGGCTGTATGTTTGCTGGATGTAGACCAAATCTGGATAGTTTAACGTAAAGCAACATGAAAGAGATAAGCCACTTGTGACCGCGCGTTACAGTGATTTTCTCACGGTTAAGGCACAGTGCAAAGCGGAATAAAATCACTAACACACAGCCTCAAATGGATTACTGCTTTTGTGAAACAGCTTATGTTCAGCAAATAATTTAACAATACCAATTACAATAAAAACATTCTGCCAAGCAGTGTAATTTAATAACTTTACTAACTTAACTGTGTATTAATCAGTTCATTATTTAATCTTATTGTAGAAAATCTGTGGATGTAGCCGTGGACATGTGGGAGGCGTGGCCATGCGGAGCGCTGAGCACTGAGTACCACGCGTACCACGATGGCAGCGGTGAGAGACTTTATTCCTGTAAATAAGTTAGTGACGTTTAAGACGTGTAGCAATGTTGTGTGTGCTGGGCTGTGGGGACATTAGGTGGGTCTGCTTTTCTACCATGGACTAAAGTTGTACGGCTGCTGGTGACTTGCCTGCTTCCCTACTGTATCCGTCAGTGCTGAGCGGCAGGTCTCCCTGCTGTATGTAAATAAAAGAGCACTCATTCAAAGTACTGTTTCTTGTGGCTTCTTCTTCTACACCAGGGCCTGAAATACATTTTTCAAAATTCCCCCTTAAATGTTTAACATCGGGGGGATTACTAATTGTGAGCTTAACTACAGGTCTCACCTTGTCCCATTCTTTTTGAAAGCTTTTTAAAAGAAGGGCACTCTTTCATGACTTTAACCAGATGACCAAATTTTGAATTGGCCAATTCGTTTTCTGCAATAAAGTAGCCATTTTTGAGAACCCCTTTGTTTCCTCATCACACTGCAACTGCGCACCTTCAATAGCTTTAGCCATCACATTCTTCGCCGAATCTGCCTCACACTTTCTTTTCAAGGCTGCAGTATTAGAAACTCCATCTGAGTGGCGCCTTAAAGTTGACGTTTTGTAACATCGGCTGGTAAAATAGCATAGGCTTAGGAAGTTTGGGCTGCCTCCTCACATCTTCACCAACTTCTACAGATGCACCACAGAGAGCATCCTCACGGGCTGCATCACTGTCTGGGATGACAGCTGCACCGCCTGCGACCGCAAGGCCCTTAAGGGAGTGGTGAGGCTGGCAGAATGCATCATAGGCAACAAACTACCAGCCTTATAGGACATCTATCAGTCCTGATGCCTGAGGAAGATCATAAAGATCCGGTCAGACAGCAGTCACCCAGCACACAGCCTGTTCACCATTCTGCCATCAGAATTCCCTGCACTGAAATTCAGGCCCTGTACACCAACACAATAATTTGACTGTGCTCTCTCTCTCTGACTGACCATGACTGTGTCTTATGTGTTTGTACTGTATAGTGACCTGTAATGCATACTGTTAGTCTTAAGAAGTGCACAGTAGCTGTGTATAAAACTATATACAGCTGAGAAAAGCACATGATGTATAGCAGAGGATGCTGAGCTGAGAGCAACACAGTGGGGTTATTAAAGAGACTTCAGATACTCGCCTTCTTGACTTCATATTTGATGGCCAGCTTGACTCTGCTGAGCAGCGTGCGGTGATGCTGGCCTTCCTCCAGCTCGGCCGATATATCTCCATTCAGAATGGCCTCCACCTCCTCTGTGTCCCTACACAGGTCCAACACGCCCACCACAAAATCCTTACACTGCATAGACAACTTCCTGTAGTCATTCTGGAGAGAGAGAGAGAGAGAGAGAGAGAGAGAGAGAGAGAGAGAGAGAGAGAGAGAGATAGACAGTACTAAGTAACAGTAACAGTAGGCTCTCAGAGTAAACAGTGTTCTGTATCCAGTGAAAACAGTGTGGTTATTAAAGGACACTATTTGTTGGGAGATGGTAATGAGGGGTTACTCAGGGTCTGAATCAGCTGGCTCAGGGCCCAGTCTTCACAACAAAGTAAAGCAGAAGTAGCAGAAGACCCAGAGGAAACCCTGCACTCCCTCCTGTGATTGACAGTCCCTGTTAGCACTGACTGAGCAGTCTCTCTGTTCCTGTCCTCCAGAGCCTGTCGGAACCTGCTCTCCTCCAGGACTGAACGCCCGCACTTACAAATTCAATTAAACATTACACGAAAAAAACGAGTCCTCGAGAGCGGTTCTCCTTTGAAGGCTTTTGAAATGAGTGGTGGGGAAGCGCATTCTTACCTCATCAAAAACAGCCTGAGTCAGTCCAAACGACCGGTTAAACAGTAATTATACAGTGAGAGAGTGAGATAACGCTATCTGCGGAGAGGAGTGGGGGAGCTCTAATTAAATGTCTTATCCGTCCCGGGGAAACACCACAGAACAAATCTGTGTGCGTAAGCATAGAGAGCTGAAATTACAGTTTAACATTACCACATTTTCTATTAGCAATATTCAGAAGATCATTTTCTCTGTAACAAAAACATTCACAGAAACTTGGCTGGGATTAAACACACAATTTCAGGTTCTCTTTTCAGCGTAGGCATCCAAATGTTCTTGCACGGAACACAAGGCTGAGAAAATAAAGATTACAACAAGAAAACCAATGATTTTATGGAGGAACATTTAGGGCCTAATTCACTTAATCTATATCTGATTTAATTTGCAACATCTGTAGCATATAGATGATTTTCATAGACAATCATATTCAGTATGTTTACCAGTGTTTAAAAAAGAACAGACGAACTGTTGACTCAAAACACACTTATAATAGGAGCCAGTGAGCAGTAGTGTCAGTTGCTTAGTTTTTGAGTCAACGGGTCCTTTAAGTCCAAAAACTATTGTCTGTGCTAACTGACATGTCAGATAAAGATTAGGCTGAAAAATAATGGAACATTCCTTTCAGTTTGGAATAGAAATCTATCCTATTCATGGTCTCAATTACACTGGAGGGCTGTATCTGATTACAGACGTTAAAAAATTGGTTTGGCAAAAAACCTAATTTACACAATTTTTCCTTTGCCAAAACATGTTGGGGTGGTCTGATGGGTACTTGGTTTGCTGTGATGTAATATTTAAAGTGAGAGTGCTGGTTTAGAAAAGCACATTGTAGCAATAATTCTAGGCTGGACAACCTGTTTATTCAGGACTTTAGTCCCGAAGATGCAGCCCTAACAGCACCAGCGGTGAGAAATAAAATATTGGAAATCCCATGACGTAAATAAACTTTGTGTATTTGTCGTTACTTTACGCTGGGACTGACTTCTTTGGCACTGACAATATAACATGCTATTAACACTATTTAGAATGCATTATGTTAACAATTCAAAATGTATAATAAACATAGCTATAATTCAGTGTAATTCAGTATAACTCATGTTAAATAAAATTTATATGCATGTTTATAATGCCTTATGAAGGCATTATAACATGTTACGAATGTGTTTATAGATATTTAAAAACATGACATTCATAGTGTTACCATAGTGTTACCCTTCTCTCAAACCACATCTAGGTGTTCATTAAAGGGGCAGTGTGTAAGATTTAGGGGAATCTATTAGCAGAAATGGAACACAGTATACAAAACCATGTTTTCATTAGTGTATAATCAGTTATGACTACGAATCGTTGTGTTTTTGTTAGCTTAGAACGAGCCCTTCATATCTACATATAGAGGCCACCATGTTTCACTGCCATGTTTCTACAGCAGCCCAAAACAGACAAACCAAACACCAGCTCTAGAGACTGCCTTTCACGTTTTTATGTTGAAGCAGCAGCTTGAATTTGGTGGTGCAACAGTACCGGAAGATGTAGAAAGAGGAAGAATCAGTGATTGCTGTTGGTGCTGGTTAGCCATTTTCTGTTGTGAGAAGTGTGAGGACCCAAATTTTTACAAATAGAGGATCATATTTATTATTATTTAGCACAAGAAAAAGCAAGGGAGGCTGAATCCTCGTCGTCAAAGAAACGAAAACATGGCTCCCGAGTGGTGCAACCGTCTAAGCGTTGGCCCTGTCATCAGGAGATCGCGAGTTCGATCCCTGGTGATGCTACAGCCATCCGTAGCCGGGAGTCCAAGAGAGCACAATTGGCCTCGCTCTCTCTGGGTGGGTAGGATGGCCCCTCCTTCTCCCCCCATCACTCAGCGCGATGCTAGTCAGCACAGGCGTCTGTTAGCTGACGTAACAGATCTGGCGGTTGGCGCTTTCCTCCGAGCGCGTTCAGCTGTCCAATGACGTTGCGTGAGCGGCAGTTCGAAAAGAAGCGGTGGCTGGCTTCACAGGTCTCGGAGGAAGCCTGTGTTAGCCTTCACCCTCCTAGCGTTGATAGCATCGTGTGATTGGGGGAGTCCTAACTAGCGGGTGAAATTGGAGACGACTGAATTGGGGAGAAAAATCGGGTAAAAATTAAAAAAAAAAAGAAACGAAAACATGACGGCCACTGGATGTTCTACCACATGCTTGGAAAGGGAGGGGTGAGGGAGAGGTATTCACTTGGTTGCAATCTGCAGCATCACTGCTAGCTACCACTAAATCTTAGAAGTTGCACCTTTAAGGACTTCTTGACATGGTTGGGGAACACAGTATGACTTAAAATGAACAAAACCACCGTATAGCTGAACGCTGCAGACAGCCACTTTAGACCACAGGGCGTCCTGCCAAATTCTGAACCCCCCCTGCAGCATTTGGATGCTAGATTAGATTTGCAAATTCTGCTGTTTCAATTTTCAAACATATTGAGTTAAAAAAAATCAGATTATCAGTTTCCTATAAACAGAAATAACAGAAACTGTGAATGTAACCTGTAGCATCCATATGCCTGGTGTGCATGTGAAGAGGAGCTGAATTTCAACACCACTGTTCTACGTCAAACTGTGCTCTAAACCACATCAAGTCTGTGTGACCTCAATGAACACCAGGATGTGGTTTGAGAGGGTTAAGAGAATTTTTATATATTTATAGGAAAGATTTGGGTGACTACTGACTTCTAGTGTTTGTTAGCCTTGTAACTCCAGCGCTAAACTAAAGAAGCAAAATTTAGGCCCAATCCCATTTCTTATTTTTACCCCTACCCCTTGTTTTCGAGTGTCACATTGACTCGGTTCCAAGGGGCAGTGGTTAAAATCTTACCCTACAAAATGGTACAACAATGAAAAAAATAAAAAATAAAAAACAAAAAACATCACTTCATTAACAGGCTACTAGCGCTGCTCTGTAGGCGACCTTGCCAGTCTGCAGTGATAGCAGAGGAGGGTAAAGTTCAGCTCCTCACTGCTGGGCTTTCGTTACATTTAGAGCATCATATGCCTTCAAAGAGGGGGACACGACAATTATTTATTATCGTCCACCCTTAATTATTCAGTGATATGAAGCTGAAGTCAGCTATTTGCTAGCATCTTGTTCGAATTTGGGGTTTGGGGGGGTCAGAACGTAACTGTTGCTCCATTTAAGGTGGAACAGGAAATTTAGGTAGCTACCGAGACATCAGCAAACTACTAGCGATTTTTTTATGCTTGTTACAAAGAAAAGGACCATAATACACCGAAACGACATTAAACTTTAAAAGATAATACAATGGTCATAATTTTTTAGTAGTGGACCTTAGACACCAAACATGTCTTGCCTGATCAAGTGCAACTGGTGTAAGAGGAAATTTGTGTCAATGGATTTTTTGTTTCCCTTTAAGATATGTACCCCCTTAATTAACCTCTTGGCAATTTGGAAAGAAACTATGAAACTATTCTAGAATAGAATAAACATCTTCCACAGAACTCCAACCCTGTGATCCTACTACACATTCAAAAAAGAAAAGCTTCAGTTAGTGAGGAACAAAAAAAAAAAACTTTGTTTATTCATGTAGCCCCCTTTTTTTTTCAAAAAGAAAAACAAAGTGTAATGGCCTTGATATACTAAGTGGATCAATGACCTACAGCAAACAGTTCAGCACTACAAGCACAATACGCCATAAAGATTAATGGAAATAATTTGCATAATGAAGATGAATGGCAAGAATTATATGAATCTGATGTTATTCATGCTTACAGTAGTACAGCGCCAATCAGGGACAAGCCATTCAGCAGAAGTCATGGACTGTTTCGGTGAGTGCTAAACGCTTCTTATAACATTTGTTCAGTATAAGTATCTTTTTTTGTATTTTCTTTAAAATAGTTCTTTAAAGAACTATCTTTTTAAAGATTTTTTAGGAGACTAAAGGAACTCCACACTGCCTGAATTCAGCTACTGTGTTAAAGTAACATTTTCCCCACATCTTTCAAACAATATTTCCACTTTGCTGACTTGTTGAATTATTGAAGTCATTGACTCTACATGAAAGTGGCTGAAGTACTTTCTGAAAGGGTGTTTTTATCAGGTTACATGGAGAGGATCCACTTCCGCTGCATACAGACATTTCATCGGTGTCCCACAAGGCTCAGTGCTGGGTCCTCTTCTATTTTCCTCTTTACACTTGTTCTCCTGGAGATGCAATACTCTCTCACGGCTTCTCCTACCACTGCTATGCTAATGATATCTTCTGATCTTGAGGTTTCCAGTCGCATCTCATCATGTCTAGCTGACATCTCTTTATAGATGACAGCCCACCACCTGAAACTGAATCCCAGCAAGAACGTAGCCTTGGAGTAATTCTGGATGACCAGTTGCTGTTCTCTGCCTCCGTCATGCAGGTTTTTCCTCTACAACATCTGAAGAGTTTGACCCTTTCTCTCTAGGGAGGCAGGTACTTGTTCATCTCAAGGCTTGATTACTGCAACTCTGTATAGGCTGTTTTTCCTATGCGGGTCATCAGGCAGCAACTGTATCGCAGCTTGTCTTAAATCTTCCCAAGTTCACTCCACTGTTGCATCCCATTTCCTGGCTTAATCAGATTTAAACCCTGATGCTTGACTACAAAGCGGATGTGCTACTCTCCACCTGATGACAATGGTCAAAACTTGATCTGTACCTTGTGCGTTGCAAGCTTCAAGTATGGCTCGGTTTGAAATGCCATCCTTCAAGACACATGAAAGACAAGCACGAGGATGTCTCGGCGCTGGCACCTGGTGGAATAAACTTCCAGAGTCCCTCGCTGTCTTCAAACGTTGAGTGAAGCTTCTTTGTGAAGCATTCAAATATATTTAATACAGCCTTTATTGAAATGATTCTTGCACAGTATATTAGTTCAAAGTTAATTTAGGATGTAAACTATTTGTAGTCACTCTGGATAAGATGTTGTAAATGTAAATGTAAATAAATGTGATCAACCTTTTCTTACATAGCCTTCATAGCCTTCACAACTGTTTCTAAATCCAATAAAGGTGCATGCAGGTAAATTCTTCTTCCAGACCTGATCAGATACCAGAGTAATCTTCCAGGATGCGCTGTCACTGAGCACATGATGAGCTGAACTTTATTGCTCTCAGCAAGGGTCATATCACCTTCTCTGATCAACAACAGCATGAGAAAACCAACATCACTGTCCATTTGTCAGAAGATACCTCTAGAGTATCGACAGTGTGGGGTAGCAATGGTGTTTCAGTGTATCCCAGGAAAATAACTGATGAACTTTGTCTATTGCTGCTGCCATAACAAACACACACAAAAAAAATCACAAACAGTAATTTTGTAAGACAAGCAAAAGAACATGAATTCAATGTAATGTATGTTGATGTGCCAAGATTTTAAGTTAATCTGGACCATTTCTATTGATCCATTCACTGTGAAATGTTCAAGCAATAAGAAGAGCAGCTGGTGTTTTCAAATGGTGTAAAAAAAAATAACAATAAAATAAATGGAGCTTTAAGGTTTTGATATTACAGCAACAAAATGCTGACTTAGAAAAAGCAAACAAAGACTCACTAACCAAAGAACACTTTATATGCTTCCAGGATTCATCTGCACGCACCCATCAGGAGACACTTTGCTATTCATCTACTGAATAAGACTGCATGGAGCAGTCAGTGCTCGTTCTAAATCAGCGCCTTTACTGCAATATGCTGTATCCATATGGGTCCCGGCTGAATATTTATGTGAGAACCTGCATGTTGCATTGTAAAGTAAGAACAAAGAGAATGATCTTTGAACAGAAATGTAACTGCCCTTGTTTCTGTCCAGACAAGAGCTGAGCAGAGCTTACAAGGTGAATTATTAAAGCACTTCCTGCTTGTTCTACTGTCCTAATCTCGGTATGCTCAGCATTATTAGACGTCCACACCTGGCAGGCTGAGAATGAGCAAACATGGTGTTACGACTGCACTATATAATGTTAATTAATCATTACCGCAATACAGGATCTTGCAAAACTAATAATAACAATAATAAATGTGTGCAATATGCAAATGAGCCTGTAACCAATAACGGAATGTTTTGTTGTGTGCTGTAAGAATCCTGAAGTATCACAGATGTCATTTGTGTTAAAAAAATAATTACGCTGATCTTTAACTGTGTAACATCAAAAAGGTTCATTGATGTGTTTTGAATATACTAAAAGGCAAATTACAATTACAAAATGTAGCAATACAGTTAGTGCTGCACCAAAATGTCGAAAACTACATATTCTGACAAAAAAACAAAACAAAACGAAAACAAAAATGAAACAGATCTGCAAAGTGTCAAAATCTAGGGCTGTAAAAATCATTTTAAATGGTAATGAAAATGAAAAAAAATAGTGATTAAAAAACCCTTTTATTTCCTTCCCTCTCCTGTGCTGGGCAGTGCAGACTGAACAGCAGCAGATTAACAGTGAAGATGTCAGTCATGTGGAACTACTCAAGGTTTCTATGAGGGACACTAGACAAGCAATTTATAATCTCATTTTTACAGCGTGCAAAAACTTCTCCACAGCACAACAACAGCACCAGAAAGGAAAGTCCCTGCAAGTGCACTAATGTCATCTGTATCATCAGCTTTGAAATGACAAAAAATAAGCAAAAACTACACGGCCAAATACGCAAAGTATACAACGGGGCTTCAGGGCCACTGTTAAAAGATAAAATAATAGTCGTAATATTTCAAGAACAAAGTTGCATTTTTTGGAATAAAATCCTAACATTTTGAGAATAAAGTCGTAAAGTTACAAGAAAAACTTGCGATATTTGGAGGATAACATGGGCTAATGGTAGGGGCTGCCATAACACGTTAGGGCCTCAGTTGCTGTACCGGTGAGGATGAAGATGCCGAGCGCGCTGAAGTTCCGCTCCTTCAGGATTGATCATTTTATCATTCTCTTTGTCTTCGGTGAAACTACACACCCTCTTCAACTGGCACAGAGATGTAACCACCGACAGGCTTGTAGGCAAACACTGCTTGAGTTCTCCTTCAACAAAACAGACAGCTTCCTCCGAGTCCGTCTGGTTCTTTATACTGAATAATCACAGTTTCCTAGTTTATTACTATTTTTTTTAACAGTGGCCCTAAAACACAGTCGTAAAAGTATAACTCAAAAAAATGGAATTTATTACTTTGAATGTCCAACCGTTCCCTCAGATTGAGGGCACTGAATTCCGTGGCACATACTGTGGCATATGTACTGTAATAATTTTAGTCAATTTATTTAATAAAAGCTGTTTTTATTTATTGTCTGTTTCATTTTGATGCATCACTATTTATAATATGTCATTTTGTCCATTTCATGCCCTCCTACAGTTCAGAATATTGATCTACTGCCTTATTTCCCCTCTAAACACATTCTTTCTGTGTCTACAGTGATATTTAGCTGCACTTGGGAATAATTCCTTTGAGTAAACTTTAAAACATGGCAATGTACCTTCTTCCTCACTACTGTTCAGCTCAATATCATGCTGAAATACACTGTGTTAAGTGAATTATGTTAAGTAGTTAAACATATTTACCAGAGAGATGCAATTGTGCTGCATGGTGTCTTTTTTATGCCTCTTTTTATCCTGTCGCCAGCAAGGACCCACCAAAAACAACACAAAAACACAAACACAATGATGAGCAGGGGTTAAATGAACATATATAAATGAATTATGAATTAAATTCAAGGTTTATGAACAGTAAAGAGATATGTAAAAGAAGAATGTGTGAGGATGCTGTATTTGTAGTGTTAGTGTTAGTCGTGAGCTGCAGCTACAGGTAAGAGGAAAGAGTCTCTCCTATCATGCTCTACATTAGAAAACCCACACCACATTGTCCTAGTTCATCAATTTCTCACTGGGAGCTCTTGATTTATATGAAAGTTGATTTATGGGTGTCTCTAGACAATCTGCTATCTTTAGCAATGGCAATGAATCTACAGTAGGCATTTCACATAAGACAGGAATTCTCAAAATTCCTCAAAGCCACGCTGTATTTTCATGTATGAGTATGAACACCACAATGTTATGCCTTTAAGTAAAGACAATGTGAAAAACATGCTGCAATTGCAGATAGACAGACAGACAGACAGACAGACAGACAGATAGATAGATAGATAGATAGACAGACAGATAGATCTGCACTGGAGCCTCAAGGCTAATGGTATCAAGTATTGGAGCCTTATATCTAACTTAATACCTCTGTGCAAACTGCTTGTCTCAAACATAGCAGAGTTTTCTTGTTAAGTACTCTTAAATAAACTTGCAAGTGTGGTTTCTAACACTGTACAATATCCATAAAAAAGGCCTAAAAACGTGTAGCTAAGAACATGGCTAAAAACAGCAGTAGTAGTCATACTGAAGTCTGAATTTTGTCAGACTTTGGATCATTTTTATAGCTAACCTGTACTCCATACAGTGACAGAAACCACATACACGTTTTTGTATTAAGCCTCTATTACCTTCTAGCCTATATCAGTCTCGAAGCTCCAGTGCAGCATGTCTTGGCCAAAGATGAAGAGGAAATTATGAACGTTTGATTTTTCACCAAACTATTAAAGCTATTGATAAAATATTGTGAGGTAACCATCCTACCTTAAACTCCTTCTCAATGTTGGCTAGCTTGGCCAGTTCATTGCTGAGCTCCAGGGCGGTGAGCACGGGGTCTTCACTAGAGAGCGAGAGGTAAGCGGGGCTGGCCAGGCCGCGGTAAGCGTTGATCCTGGAGCGGGAGTGGCTGAAGGAGTCTTTCCTCTGTTTCTCCGTGCAGTCGGCGCACTTGCAGAAGTAGTCGTGCGGCCGCTCGATGCGCGCACCCTTCATCAGCAGCATGTGCACCACCTCGTATTTCTGGCAGTGGGCGGCAAGGATGATAGGTGTGATGTCGGGCGAGAAGCGCGTTCCGTCCTCGTCGTACGAGTAGAAGTCGTCGTCCTGCAGCTCACAGGGGCTGCGGGTGAGGCGCTCTCCACCGGCCAGCGACGGGTGGCCCAGCAGGGCCTCTACGATGCGTATGTAGCCCTTGGAGATGGCCAGAAGAAGGGCGTCGCCCACTCGCGCCAGGTTTTCTCGCCGCAGGAGCAGCTCAGTCACCTCCAGGTGCTCGTTCCCCACTGCGAGCTGCAGGCCGTTCTGGCCCATATAGTCCACACAATTCACATTGAGTGTGTGCGACTCCTCCAGCATCTTGCGCACCACCGGAATGTTGCCGTACTCTGCAGCATCCAGAAAGCGTTCCTCCTCGGCCGTCAGGCTGCTCCCGCGTGCGTTGAACATGAACGCCGGTCCGCGGACAGCCTGCCTGCGACCTTTCTCTCGCTGCAGGGTCATTCTTCGGCCCGGGAAGGTGTCTATGGCCTTCCTGGAAGCAGAAAAAGAAAAATTAATAAATCCCAAACTGCAAACATAAGGTTTCCATCGTACCTAATAGCTTAAAATAGTTAGTGAACAACAAGTCTTAGGATTTAGTAAGTGATTAATAAGCCTGCAGTTCAAAGTATTAAATCACACCTTAACAGTAAAGGTTTGTCCACTTCCAGAAGCCACACTAACAGCAAGCACTTCAGGTAGATATGCGGCACATCAGACCCTCCAAGCTCACCCATGTGGAAACTGCTCTCTATTGACTTGGCTGCCTTTGCTGAATATGATATTACACATTGACACCAGCCCAACAGGTAGCCACCCCTGAGCAGGATATTTGGTTTGGGTTATTAACTCACAGAAGACACGGTTAGAGGCGGGACTCAAGCAGCAGTCTGGGGACAGAACCCCGCCGTCACTGTGAATGCCTTCTGCCCTTAAGAGCTTTTTAATGAAACGCAACAGATGCCACAATCAAACCACAGGTTGGTACCTCATCACAGCCACTTCTCTGCCAGTATGAGTCACTGTTACAGAGCACAGGACAGACACTATAAAACAAGCAATAACCGCACAAACTGTCTGAATAGAGTCCAGTAAAATGCTTCAATTTATAGGTAGATAAGTGGTCAACAAACCTCTTCTCAGACGTATAACTACCTGCAAAGTTCAGATACACACCACATCTAACAAACCAGAACTGGCTGACAAAGATACACTCTTGAAGATAAAGGTTTTTAAAGGGTTCATGGTTCAATTGTGCAAATGCCAATTCCAAATAAGCTAGGACAGTGTGAAATGCAACAGAAAAAAATGGATTTATACTTCCATTTCATCTTAAAGGAAAACAGTACAAGGACCTGATTTTTTATTTTTTATAAATAGAAGCTCATTCTGAAATTATGCCTGCAACACATCCCAAAAAAGTTGTGAAAGGGGCCATTTAAGACTAGTTGCAAAAGGTTTAGGAAAGGTCTAGTCTTTTATGAGCAAGGATGTGTTGAGGCTTGGCACTTTGCCAAAATAATTAGCGAAAAATCAAACTGTTTAAAAATAACGTTCTCCAACAAGGATTTTAGGTATGCCATCCTATCCAGTGCATAATACAATCCAAAGACCCAGGGAATCTGGAGAAATCTGTGCGTAAAGGGTAAACTGAAGCCATTTGTCAACAACGCCCAGAATCGCCGCCGACCTCTCTGGGCTTGAGCACATATGAAAAGGACTAAGGCACAGTGGAAATGTGTATTGTGGCCTGACGAGTCAACCTTACGGATTATTTATGGAAAAATGTAGGTTTAGTAGGGGTGGGCAATATGATAATGTTTTACCATTTTAGTGATAAATTATGTCACAATACCCTTCCTGAACATACTGCAGATATCGTCAGTCAACACTGACTAACTACATGTTTTATTATAAAGTGAGCAAAATTAGGCCTGTTTAATTGGATTTAGTGCAGAGCAGTTTGTAAAACACTGAATAGAAATCATTGTAGCATTAAAAAGCTTTAAATACTGTGATGCATATTGTGTATCAGGAAAATGTCTTATGTAGTATTATGATATAATATTGCCACATTGCCCACCCCTAACGTCAAGTCTCCTTGACTGCAAGTGCTAGACTGGCCTGTCTGAAGTCCAGAATTGTCTCCAGTCTCCTACTGAAAACGCATGGCACACTATGATACGCAAAATACAACAACAATGGCACCATACAGTTGTGCAGCTTAAGACTGATGTTTGAAAAAAATATTCTGCCATTTTCAGTCCAAAAAGTGATAATAAAGGGTGGTTAAAAAGAAATGTGATGTAAAACGGTGAACTCCTTTTAAAACTATAAAATTTAAAATGAGCATGCATGCAAAAAAAAACAAAAAACAAACAAAGTTTATAAGGTAAAACACAAATAGTATGTTTTTGTTATATTTGCTTTCCATTTTTATTAGTATCACATACTTTCCTGATTTTTTTGGTAGTGTGGTTTTGTGGGAAAAAACTTTAAATATAGTATAGAAACTTCAGAATATGGCTTGGTTTTTTAAACTTTAAAAATGTCCTTCACAGACATTTCACTTTTTTACGAGGTTATGTCTGGGGACAGCCATGAGAAATTTTGCCTAAATGTGAGTGGGAAAGTAAACTTCTTACACTCTCAGAAAAAGATAAAAAGTACCACTTGTCACTGGAGTGGTTCCCTTAAGAGTCTGTCTCAGTATCTTTAGTCAGGGAACATAATTGTACCACAATCCACTGCAGTTATATTTTCTAAGTTGTATTGACTCCACACACCCCGTCTCGTCTCCAGGCTTTTTATTTTGCTGTTCTGTTTAAAACCATTAGGTTATGAAAATGTATAACTATGTTCCACCTGGATAAACTTATTTAAGGTACATAATTTGGCCTTAAAACCACTGTTGCACTTTTAAGGGTACATATACATTGTTTGTACCTTGATAAATGAGAAATATACCTGCTCAGAACCTTTACTGTGAGTATAGGCAGCAAAAAAGCTACAGTCAGTTCCACAAATGGTTAGACATTGACAAACTTAGCTGTAACTGGCTGAAATAAATAATGAGTCTAAGCTCGAACTTTAAAAATACTTTTAGCTTTAATTTGACAGTATTTACATCCAAATTTTCATACATAGCTCCAGCCACCTTCCCCACACACTATTTTTATGGTCTCAAAAGTAATAAGCTATTCTAACAATCATAAACTGTCATTTTTATTACTTGGTTGTAAATGCTCTGTAGTCAATGTCTTCCTGAAGTCTGGCATCTTTAGATATGACCAGATGCAGGGTTTCTTCTCTGGTGATGCTATGCCTGGTCTTTACTGATTGTTAGTTTGTCCGATTACTTTTAAGCCCCTAAAAATGAGGGGTATAACATTATGACCATTATGAGCACTGCTGTGTCTGATCCACTCGTACCAGCACAACACACACTAACACACCACCACTACATCAGTGTCACTGCAGTGCTGAGAATGATCCACCACCCAAATAGTACCTGCTCTGTGAGGGTCCATGGGGGTCCTGACCACTGAAGAACAGGGGAAAAGGGGGCTAACAAAGTATGCAGAGAAACAGATGGACTACAGTCTGTAATTGTAGAACTACAAAGTGCACCTATGTAGTAAGTGGAGCTGATAAAATGGGCAATGAGTGTAGAAACAAGGAGGTGGTCATAATGTTATGTCTGATTGTTGTATATAAATGTGTATATGTGGACATTTTGCATGATCCTATCTTAACAAATTTCTAGCTTACTGTCTTATGTGCACAGCATGATCTAGCCGACTATAGACAGTGATGACATATTTAATGTGTACAGTATCATCTATCAGTGCAGTGAATCAAAGCACTCGAGGATATAAATTGCCTTTTGTTTATGTTTGAACCTGAACCCACAACCACAGAGCCCACAAACAGAGCCATTTAAATGATCTACAGTCGGGCAGCATTAAATCCTATAATACTACGACAGGCAAATTACTGCACCACTAGACAACATTAACTGCAGCCACAAACAGAGGAAACGAAATGAAATCAAAGTACAATCGGTGCTCATATCATCCAGTGAGCTTCAACATTAACCCTATAGCTCCCCTGTAGTTCTCTAACATCTTCAACTAACTAGCCTCTGTATCATATCCATCATATCCATGAACAACCTCTTTAAAGTATCAGCAGCCACTACGAGTGACTCCTACAATAACGAAGTCAAAATATCAAAACTCTTCAATGCGCACCTGTTCATTCTTTGCACACCCCAGTGATCAGTTGGAGAGTAAACAAATGCAAAACAGAATGCGTTTAATTAAGCTCTCAGTCCCTGGACTACATCAGCTCTCCTTCACAAGGGTTTCACTTGAGCAGCGCGATTCCTTTCACACAGCCAAGCCTTTCACTCTCCCTCTGCCTTACAGCCTCTTCGCTGCCAAGACGCTCAAGGAGAGAGAAGCACTTAACTCTGAACCAGATGCTAACATCTTCACCGCTCATCACAGCCTATATTACTGCTCCTAATGCCTGCTTCTCCCACGATCCATTCTGAATATGGGCCCAATCAACTCCGGAATTGATCTTTACCCAGAGGCCAGTTTAATTTGGATAAAGGAAAACTCTTTTAGTGAATCGTCTCGTGTCTCTCTTCGCCTTTAATACTCAATCACTTTTGGAGTAAAGCGGTTCCTTCTGTGAGGAGCTCACTGGAGCAGGACTTCTCCACTAACTTGAGTGCAACCGAGGGAGCCAAACAGCCACTCGAAAACAGGAGGATGAAGATATGCACCAGAACAGGCACACATGTTTGTGCTGGAATATTAAAAGAACAGGCAAATGTAATATATAAGTAAGCAAGTCTGATTGTGATTGATTAATAACTCTTTTTATTGAAAAAGATTGTTTTCCAATGGGGTCTTTTGTAAAGAAAATGGTGCTAAATAGAACCATGAACATTCAAAGAACCCTTTGCATAATTAAAGGGTTCTTTACATTGTAAAAGGGTTCTTCACATTGACAGAGAGTGTGCTGTAGATGGTTCTACATAGAACCTTTTTAAAAGGGGTTCTATATAGCACCAAAAAGGGTTCTTCTGTTGTAACAAGCTTCACATCATAACATTAGCAGAACCCTTTTTGGTGCTATGTAGAACTATTTTTGAAAGGTTCTATGTACAACACATTCTCCAATAATCTTAAGAACCTTTCTGTCATGCAAAGAACCCTTTAGTCAAAGGATTCTTTGAGTGTTTATGATTCTATTTAGAACCATTTTCTTTACTACAGAACCCTTGAAGAACCATCTTGTTTAAGAGTTCACGGTTTAAGGCAAGTGTGTGATTATTTAGACGTGCAGTTTGTAGTAGGGACGAGTCACAATTTTCGAATATTCAAATACAGTTATGAATGTTTAAAAACTGCGTACTCTATATTTTAGAGTGCAGTGTAGAATCTTATATTTCTATTAACGTATATGTCCACCAGAGAA